GTTCTCGCACAGTGACCGGACACTGTCTCACGTCATGCACAATTCGGACGGATGTGTGAGCAAGCCTTGTTTTTGGCCTTCATTCATCAGCAGCAGATCGGGAAACTTGGAAAACCTGTACGGTCCCAAGAAAGTAGACGAAGTAGACCCTTCATCTGTGGGTCCTAACAAGCTCCCAGTTTTTGTGATTAAACGTCAATCCTGAGGGCACGTTGCATTTGCTGCTGTTGAGATGAAATTTTGAAAGGCATTGCGGCCTTAGACAGCTGCTGTCCCAAAACAGATGATAGCGTAGGAAAAAAAAGGTCTGCCATGTGTGACAGACATGTAGCAACTGAGCATGCCTTCCAGAAAGTAGACCAAGCAGACCTCGACTACTCATGCCAACCATATTGATTTCATGCCAGGGCTCCAACACAATCTCAACAGCCATGTGTCATTTTGAACCTGAGGGCATGTTGCGTTTGCTGCCGCGATTTAGATGGATCTGTCTGTGAAAGGCAGACTTGAAAAGGATTGGCATTCAGCAGCAGCAGATCGGGAAACCGGGAAAACCTTTAAAGTCCCAAAGCACGCCTCTCCAGAAAGTAGACGAAGTAGACCCCGAATGATTATGTCGACCGTTTGGGTTTCATGTGGGGGCCCCAACACAATCCCAAGTTCGTGATTGAATTACGAAGTGATCCTGAGGGCCTGTTGCGTTTGCCACCCGGATTTGGTTTCTTGAATATTTTTCAGCCGATATTTCGACACGCATGTGTATATATCGCACAGATCATCTACAGAGTGCTTGGCGGAGTTTACTGCGGTTCTTTTTTTAAACGCATTGGTCCAGCGCAGCATGCAGGAAATACATCGTCTCAAGTACTACCTTTTGATGTACCGCCACCTATCGTGTAATATTTCCAGGGAAGAATCTAGGGACACTGCAACTGTTTCACGTGCCCCAGTTGGTTCGGCTGAGGTGGAACATCTCTGTCACAAAGTTGGGCCTTCCTCCTCCAAAATTTCGCAATTTGATTGGCTCGGGGCTGAGCCGGTCTTGAGTTGATGATGACGGCAGGAAATCCATTGTTCCCCACCTGCCAGGTGAGGGTTGTTAGATTTTATTAGAGCGCATGCCCGCCTCCTCCTCCTCTAGCTGTCCTCCTCGCCCTCCTCCTCGCCTCCGCCTCTTCCACCTCCACTTCCG